AGTGTTTTCAGGTTTTTCATAGTGGTCTAGTTAAGATAAATCCGTGATTTAAACTATGATGACAATCTTCATTAATCCCTTCAGATTATACTTAATCTTAAGGTCATTCCGTTAAGAAAGTCAACTGATTAGTTTTCAATAGTTGGCTGTGAGCATCGTACTACCGACTTATTCAAACTAACTTCGTACTACTAACTGAACTCAAATACCTTAAACACAACTACTCTTATTTCCGGTGTAATAACAATTAATTCACAACACAAAGTGTTACTGGACAAGGATTATTCCAATCAAGCTAAATAATCAAACAGATAGGACCAATAATGTGTAGTGACTCACATTTATCACGAGAACACGACTGGTTTAATAAAAACAGTCATTATTATAACCAACTGTACCAGTGCTTGTTTTAATGTGCTTTTGTTTGACTGTGCTAATGACAGCTATATTGTGCTTCCATTCTTATACTCACACTTTGATTGTAACTTCGCGCGAATTCGGTTACGTTCTGTAACCAAGCTTCTATCTTGGCACGATCTCGGTATCCTTTCGATACTACGAGATCGCCAGCAAATATATATCTCGATTTGGTCCATTAATTGCCTTCTGGTATTTGGCTTCTCGAGGATTTTATGGATTTATTTGGTTACGTTCAACCTACACCTTCTGATCTATTTGGCACGTGTTTTTTGGTAGCGGTGTTCATAGTCAATTTCAACTCGACACCACGCTACAAATGAATGAATAAGCACACGTAGTAGTTAGACGGAAGTCATGTATAGATATATGTTATTACACAAGTCCTGAAACAAAAATACAGTGTCTAGTACTAGTGAGATAAGATTGTCAGACAAATATATACAGACATTTACAAACACATATGTGTACACAGATAAGAATTCATGACTGTTCATAATTTAGTGCAAAAATAATCAATAAGATCGTACTTCTACGTCATACTGCTAAGAATTTCTCAACCCAAAAAAATAAATGTACAGGATAATAGTAAAGACTGCAATTGTAATGGACGAGAACACAGGTGGTGGCCTGTTATAACTTGTGCCCTGAGACCTTATCAACGTATAAAGTAATGATACCGCCAATTAGAGAACAGTGAATTATCGATCGGATCAATGACGCATAAAACCCATACGAGTAATCTAAAGTCTTATCGGTACTGCCTCCTGCCTACCCCCACCTGTTAAGTTTAGAACACCAATCTCAGCCTCTGCAATATGAATCATCTACTTCAAGCATACTGGGTTTATATACCAACCAAACAGACCATATCGTACCATAAAATAAGAAAAAACATTTGTACAAGATTTAATCAAATGTGCCTATGAATGTTGGAAATGGTAATTGATAGACTGGGCATAACTCAAGAATGGTTAATCGTATAATGATAATACATAGGTCAAAATAAAGCTCATAATAAGTGTGAAATGAATATGAATAGTTTAGTTATTTAACAATTATACGATAAAATATACAAAATTACAGAATGTCTTCGTAAAACATGAGAACCATACATGAAATACGTCATTTACAAATCTTCCATCAAATGTCCTTCATATTCTTCCAATTCATGATTCCTTTCTATTCCCTTTTCGTTTTTCTTTTAAATTCGATCTTCTTAGTCTTCTGCTTTTAGCTATTTAACTGTTGATTGATGTTACACACTACTTATATCTGTCAACATATGTAGCATACACCATGCGATAGCTAATGTGTTCAGCAATTAGAGGAACGTTCCTAAAAGCCAGTGATAATCTACCGCTTTTTGTATAGAATGTTTTGTTGTTTCTTATATATTTCAATTTGCAAACAGATGAATTTAACAAATGTCAAGGGTTCTTTTCATTGACATCATGAAATGATCTTTGCATTTCCCCATATCTTCATAGATATCTAAATGGATCGACTAAAAATGTGCCTTATGTGTAATAATACTTATGTTAAGTAATTCTATTTTAATGAACTTAACAAGAAAACTGGTCAAGTTATATTTTGCAGATCTTCTAAGGTATGCCTTGATAACAAATGAAATTTAAAAGTATATTCCGATATATCTTCACAAATATACTAGAAAAAATACATGTCTAAGTTATGTACTTTAAACATCTTTTAAAGAAAACGTAGCTAAAAATGGTGACATGCTTTCGGGAATGGTTAATATGATCCATCTAAATGGTATAGGTGTAGTGTCGGTTATTATGTTAAGCCCATATACTTTATTCTAACTTTCGGACAGCCCAATCTATTCATTCTACTTGAGTCATATTTTGACCTTGTTCATTATTTGCTTATCAGTTTTGACTGTTTTTATATGAGCGTATATGTGTGTACACTTGATATCCTATGTCTCATCACATGTCTGTAGCTTAATTTTTGTCTGCCTATAAATATTGAGTAACGCCTGGCTAAAAATGAGTTGCCTTACCAGCCATCTACCCTGTGCGTCATTTGCTTTGTTCTGTTACATTCACTTGACATACAAAATATGTGTATTCAAAGGCCATTCTCGTTAATTGACTTATCTAAATTCCGTTATTGACTAACGTGATTAAAGTCGATGATTGTATACGAGGATAGGTGATAACGAACATTCATATGACCTAAATGGAGTCAGATCCACGGGCCACTAAATATGCTAAATTTCGAAATCTTTCCAGTTAATCGACTACAATAAATAATAGAACAGATAATTGGATATCAAATAGCTAATTAGCAGAATGACATGAAGAATGCACATTAACTAGCAGACTTCATTAATACTACTCATATTCCGTAATGAAAAGTAGTATCTGTGACTATTTATCTTGGTAAAAGCTTTCCCTCTGATCACTCATGACTTTCTCATGTTTTATTTAGATAGAAGAAAGTTTACCGTTTGACTTACTATATAAAGAGGTTACATGCTATTGGGATTGGTCGATATTTAATTTTACCATTTGTAAACTGTATATTACTTACTATTCACTCCTGAGTTTTTGAGGAGAGATTTTACTATGTTGCAAATAGTGCTGAAGGTAGTAGCAATTAGAAGGGCGTATGGTGAACCTTTTGAGATCATTGTGAATATGGTTGTGGATAAACATAAAAGTTTTTGCAAACACCTAACAAATGTTATTGACTTTATGAACTGATAACACGTTTTGATTTGTCCGCCCCTTTCTTCCATCCATCTCCAACACCAGTCAGCATTGCGTGTCGTCGTAATCGGTGGTTGAGCATGCGTGATACGTGACCCAGATCCACTATTACTCATCCGATGATCCCAGCAGATGCGAGCAATATTTCTAAGACATCTATGTCTAAATACTTGTAACTTACGAGTATCCTCTACCCATAACGGGCACGGTTCTCAGCCGTAAAGTAAAACAGAACGAACTGATGCGTAGTATACTCACCGCTTAATTGATAGGTGAATATCTCACCGTCGCCACAGGTGACGTAAGTTTGTAAAATCCAAACGACCTTTTTGAGTCCGCGCACAGATTTCGTCAGACACCAACCCATTAGGGTCAGTCAGACCTCCAAGATAAGTGAAGTTGTCAACGAATGTCCACAAAACCTCTTGAACTAAATTACAAGCATTTTATTTCTACCTAATCTAAAAATTAAATCATTACTGACAGATTTTAACTTAATTCCCGTAAATTTTAATACAAACGCATGTTAAAGCAACAAAAAGAGCTTCAGTGCTGATAACAGAGGTTAACTAATATTTCACAGCTTTGAAATTAGTTAAACATACATGTCAAGATTTATATACACAGTTAGTAGTATTATCAATCATATACTACCGAGAATACCTTCGAATTCAAACCATAATAAACAATCATACGATAACAAACTACTCTAATGCTTCTAATAGCAAATTTTTGTCAAACAATAAACTGACAACGTAACATATATTATTCCTGGAATTAAAAATCAGGTGAGCGTTTTCTCTGTACAGTACAATCTGATGTCTATTCTGGTAGGACTAAATACACATGACATGCATCACTATTCAATAGTTGATCAAATACTAACCTGTTTTCTACAATTCAACACCGTTGTTCGTAAGAACAGATCTCGAACAGTTTTTAATAGTACGTATTCCGCGAAATTCACTTGAAGTATCAAATATCCAATATATACTTTAACTAATCCCTATCTTGTACCCACTTGTCAGCATATTCATAAAAAAGACAGACATGTTAATAAGTCTTGCTACCGACACGCTTAAACTGTCTTCTTAACCGGTTCATATAACCCCAACTACTTTTACACGTCAACTGGGGCACTAAAAAAGCTCAAATTAAGAATAAAAGCTTTACTCTAAGATCAGTTTGTTCATAGAAAAATGTACGTCATCTTAGTATTACACCTGACCAATAAACACAGACTTCTGGGATAGTATCGAATTTAGTACCAGAGTAGATGGGAGGCGAAATCCGACTCATACGTCCGTGTCGTGCCTCCCGGATAGTGGGACGGATGATCCATGAACTAACGTGAGCGGTAACCCGGGAGGTAGAGATCGGGCTAATCACCCACTCAACCGACACCCTCAAATCGATTACGAACTTCACAAAGAAACGCAGCACAATTACTCTTGGATGGAAAAACGACAAAAAATTGACAAAAGTGATGCATGTAATGTACGGGGTTGCTCCTCACGGGGAAAACTTCAACTGGTCGCAAAAACAGCTATTCTAGCCCCGGTAGTTGTATCGTGCTTCGATATGACCTACTTCTCTCCAGAAGGGCCTACTAGGCTTCAGCAACTTGTTTGGCTGGAAGGGACAACCCAACCAGAGTAGATAACCATCCAAATCAACCTGATATGTACAACTATCGATTATTTTTTTAGAGTTTCTGATAACTTCTATTGGATGGTGAATGGCGAAAGTGTTTTAGCTATTCCCTGACTCCTGAAAACTACAATAAATAATTATTTGAAGATCTTAATAAATCAGTGAATAAATACAAATTTCAAAAGAAAAATCTATTGTAATAATTATATAATTGAAGAATTAAAGTATCTAAAATGTGTTGATTAGACCGGGCAATACATGTGTTCGTAATAAAAATAATAATAGTAATGATAATAATAATGATAATAATAATAATTAGAAGATACCGGGGATAAATATGAATACCAAAAAAATACCAACAGGATGGAGATGATGCTTGAATTGTTACTACTACTACTACTAGTGGTATTAATAGTAGTAGTATACAGTTTAATCATTGAATCTTTAATAATCCTTTGTAACAGATCCATATGAAGGTGGAGCATTAACCCAATTGACATTAGATATATTATTATTTGGTAAATAATTATTTTCATTAGTTATAGTATGATAATTATTTCTGATTAGTTCATAATCTGGTTGACCAATTAATTTTTCATATTGATATGGTTCAACTATACGATTGTCATTTATTGATGATAGTTCTTGTACCATTATTGGTGAATGACTATTAATAGCTTCATTATTATTACCACTACTATTTAATTCAGATATTCTTTGATAATGTCTACGTTGTATTCGACGTATTACAGAAACACTACTGATTGCGCCAATAATAATCAATAATCCACAAATAAACGCTGAAATAATTGAATTTTCGTTGCTATTATTTTTGTCATCATCATCATTTGGTGGTACAATATCAGGATCACCTAGGCCGGCAATGACAATCCTATACGACGTCGTGAGGAAAATGAGGAAAAAATGAAGAAAAGAAGAAACGAAACTAAAAACTAAAGAGGATAAGACAAAAAAATGGAAGAATAAAAAGGGTTTTCTTAGGGTAGCAAGTTAATAGTTTTTTTCTCGATTAAACTTACTGTAGACGAGATATTAAAAATGTTAACTGAAGGATAACTATACTTTGCTGAACAGTATGTTGATTATGAAACATGATCTATGAAAGTAAAAGATGTAGATTGAATGGTTCGACAATGAGTGATCGCGTATCATAGAAAAACCGGATGGGCGTTTTTTCTAGGTTAAAAGAGATATGCTAGGTAAATGTGGTAAGTCGGTTTATGGGATAGTATAATATTTTTATTCATTACTGAAGTGATTGGAACTTGTAGTGTGTAAGCATAACTATAGTCTATTTTAGTGCTTGATGCTTGTCGGTGTAAGAGTAGTTTGGAAGAAAAGCTTGAGGGTAGCGAAACCAAAACTTGGCACCAGACCACGAAGTCAACAACTGTTGATATAAGTTATGACTTTAAATGCAAACTATCTGGTTGGGTTCCGAACAACTATCGTGATCATTAGTTGAGGATATTCGGTGATATGGCATAGAAATGATCACGATGATCCAAATACATATATTATCTTATTCTAGATCATGATTTCTAGTATTCGTCTACATTTTGTCTTCCTTATTTATATATCTTCGATTACTTTGGTATTCATGTTGTTAAACTTATCAAGTCGTGTTGACATGAAATGGCAACTTAATCCACTGTATATTTCTACTAGATTGTACGTCTACTATTGGCTGACAAACTATCTGAAATTAAGGCTAATACGTCTCCAGACACGTGAAAAATCACCTTTTTCATAGCACGATTCAGTAAACGACAACGTAGTGTAATATCATTCAATCGGTAATTAAAATCAATCCCAAAGTAATTACACTTGACTTGTATACTTTAAGTGAATATTACATTCAGTACAATCGACTGGGTCTAATACGCAATGCCAATTCTAAAGCTACTCACATTTCTAGTTATGTGAGTAGCATATATGTTTATTTCATTTAACTCTGTCATAGACATTCTTTTGGAGCTTTCGTGATTCAATTATCCAAGCGTTGATAACTTGCAGTGAGATTTCATCATTCCATTTAGAAAATATAGATAACATAGTTCTGTTAGATAAATACTCTAATAAAATTCAGTCTTTTAGCTACCTTGGGCAACAATGCAAGCACGTTTGGAGTGGGGTTTTTATACCTTAACTACAAACTGTTACTTCCGGACTAGTCTGAGCGAACGAATAAATTAACGAAAAAAAGTTAAACGCATCGACCAATTTACTTATCATGGAAGTTTCATTAGCCCTGCTGAGTTGGTGTCTAATGGAATCTGAGTATATATTCATAAAGCCTGGTTGCATTTTGCCTGTTCGCGTCAGCTGTGTTATAGTCTAGATGTCCATCTTTTAATCAAAGGATTAATGTACTTGATACGTTTGATGAACAGAGGTAATAACTCTAGCGAACTTTATTGAACACTGGATATAACATCTCTATTCTCTTCTAGTCCTCGATAATAGTATACATCAGTTCGTTTTCTTATTTTATGACCGTGAAACGTGGTGTTTGGAAAACAAGGATATCCCTAGGTTACTAGTATTTAAATACAGATGTCTTCAAAGCACTGATCGCATTTATTTAAACCACCGAATCATCAATGATGAATTTAGGTACATGGTACTAGGTAAAGATGGTAAGCTGATGAGGTGACGAATTTTCATCAGTCAAGGTAGTTAGGATAAGTGTTATGTATATTCAGCTACCGCTTATCTCGATGAACGATGTTAGGTGATGTACGACTAAGTTGTAAGAAATCTAAGGGCGTTGAAACCGAGACGAGACATCACCCCACATAATCACTGACTGTTAAACTGAGCAGTAAAAGTAGATGCAGACTATTCAGCTGAAGTTTTCACATTTTTTGCGAATGAGTAACTGAGTAGCATGTTTCAACTCAAAAATCCCTTCCACAATGACCGTAATATATATATATATATATATATATATATATATATATATATATATATATAATGGAGCAATAATCAAATAATAAATAAGCTTACCATGATGAATAATTTGTGTCAGCATAGTAATGTTTCGAATGAGGACTGCCTAAATTGATAATTAATTCACGTACAGCAACTTGATTTTCAGTTGACTGACTATGAATTTGATTAAATCGATCACCGTACAAAGCAAATGGTAAACTAAAATGATATGATTTTGGCTTAACATAACGATGATCAATTGGGCGTGCAATACCAAGTCGTACTAATTGAGCTTCAGTATTTTCACGATCAATCCAATAAGCTGCAGGAAATTGTAAGTAAGCATTAGGCCATGTACATTGAATTAATTTATTATCTTTTGATACTTCCAATCCCAATTGGATAAATGGTGACTGAGAAATATATTATGAAAGAAAATGAATTAATTAATTAATAGATGGATTGTATTATACTTATTGTCATATTCTCCTTATTATAGACTACTAGTAGACCTATCAACTGTTACCATACTTTATTCCTTAATTATTGTTAATCAATCACGTACTGTTTGTTTTGTTCTCTATCAGTTATGATATTATAATGTTTAAAATGTGATACCTTATTTGATGTACTGTACCAGACTAATAATTTGTGTATACGAAGTAAGGAGTGTTTGAGATAGTTGTTAGTTGTGCTGGCTGATTGAACTAGTTGTTAATTAAAATATAATAATAGTAGACGGTTGATTGATGACTTCTTTTCAGGGAGAGCCAATAGAATTGTAGTTTATGTTGACTTAAAGTTAACAACAGTCCAGTTTAGAACGTATAGTTGGTCAACTCTAAAATGTTAGACTATAGATGGAATAGTAGACGCTAGATAGAAAAATTATAGTTGGAATTCCTATTACTGAATACAGCACGTGATATTGATTAGTGTCTCAAGAGATAATAGATAAACAAGAGGTAATCCGTCAACAAACTATTCAAAATACTAATTTCCATGAAATCATTCTTAACTTTGAATTGTATGTTGAAAGTACATCGTGAAACTTGTGTCTTTAAGTAGTATTTTGTGGTAAAGAGTGATATGAGAATTGTTATTTTCAATATAGTCATATAAGAAGTAGATTGTAACTGTATATAAGTATAGAAGTGGGTAGGCACTTTTTTATTAACCGGTAGACCATAGCAACGTCTAGAATTTAATTCGCAAGATGATAATTCGTAGGATCTTTTAATCTTGAGTTAATTTATCCCCTTTTTTTAATGATAAATACCATTAATTAAAGCGAAAGAGAACTCTATATAGTATTAATAGCCATCTAATTATATTCTTTGATAAGAATACTTACATGGAAAAGTGGAACAACTGTTCAATGGTTAAAGATATTCAACTTTCAATTACTAAATGACAAATTCACAAACACTATTCTCTCATATTACTATTAGTATTTGAGAAACCAGTTTGTAAGTATTACTAACACAAAATATTTGATATGTAACATAAAACTAAGTGAGTGGTATATGCTACTTATGTCAATATATATATATAAGTAGCATGTGGCACCAATCGAAAATGGAATGCATGCCAGCAGAAGATTGAGAGGATCCAATTGAAGAGAACAGAAAGTAATTGTGATAAAAAAAATTGAGGGAATTATGAAGCGTATAAAGGACAATTGATGGAAGATGTGCAGACGATGTATTTAATGTAGTTTCTTATTTTACGAAGACATCCCGAAATTTTGTATTAACAAAATAAATTGGCTCGGCAGATTGACGGAGCTACGAAATTCAGCGCACCGGCGGACTCGACATTTTAAAGAGGAGGGTGGCAGACTGAGGTAGAGAAGAAAGAGGGAGAATAACCGCAGAAGCGAACGTTTAAAGAGGGGACGAGTGTAGTGTATGCTACTAATGTTTGCATATATAAGTAACGTGTAGCACCAGTCGGAAGTGGGATGTCTGCGACAACGTTAAGAAGATTGAAATGAAGACAAGACAAAAGGAAACTGAAGATGATCAAGAGAACAACAGGGATGAAGAAACAATGAAGCTTATAAAAGACAATTCAAAGAAGATGTGTAAATGATATATTTGATGTATGATTTTCACATTTTACTAAACCACTATGCGATTATGCATTAAAAAATAAATTGGTCTTCCCCACCTGAGTGTTCATTCACTACAAGTGTACACGAACCTGTATACTTGAATGAGTTATAAACATTAAAATTAATGGATTTCATTGATCTCTTGTCATTTTTAATCCGAGACCTTCAGTCTCGCGTGCGGACATTTAACCTCTAGACCACTGAGCCGTCATTCAACGGTATTAATAAGAATGTCACTTATTCTTATTTCTCTAACAACATATCTATACATGAATTTCGCAACCGCGAACAAAAATCAGTTCCAACTAACTAATTCATGTCAGTGGACTCTACGGTAATGTTACAAAGTTAAGTGTTTTCGAAAAACAATGAACATATATATATACATGAGTATTTATGCACTTTATTGAATAGTCGAATACATTTTCTCGCTCACTCTTGTGTTCTCGCTCAAGTAGTCAATTAGGGAGGGAGGAGTTAGAGCATAGAATACCGTGTATCAGTACCAGATTTCGGATACCGCAAATCACAAGACTTTACATATTAACAATGATTACTATAACATTCAGACACTTAGTTGTATCTAGTTCCCTGCCCTTATCGATAAACATATACATGGACAAATCTTCCGGAAATTTGATATTAAAACTATAACGTGATAAAAGCTTCTGACAATACACGTGATTCAAGTGTATCGAATACAACAGTTTAGCTAAATATATTCATATACATATAGATGTGTACAATAGAAAATATAGAAAGACTTGAAATTCACCTGGTGACAGTCGAATAAATTTTACTAGTACGCTTGCATTCTTCTGTTAAAGTTAAATAATGGTAATCATTTTAGTTATTTGTCTTGAATGATGAAATTATATCTTCATATTGAGTAAACTCACTTATTCCATGCTAACTGAATAATTGATATATGAAAATTATAGATGCACCTGACCGACTGATATTCGTATTCCTTTTACTATAATCTTCCATTTGGTCTATTGGCTACTGGAACACGATTTACTATTCTTAATTTAATCCCAATCTATTTAGTTACACTCTCACACTCACAGTCAATTCTGAATTGATCTTGTATAATTATTGTTTTTTATTGTATGGTGTGAGGCGGTCTGATCTGTTTGTACATAAACCGAATATATCTGAAATATACGATTCGAATAGCGGAGGCTGATATTTGTGTTCTGGGCTGAACTGACTGGACTAGGTGAGAAACTGACGTACAGAGGACTAATAAAGATTCAGAGTTGACTCAAGGCTACTCGTGGTTGATACATCGCTGGTTTAGCACAGGGACATGATCATAAGAGACGGTATTCTGACTGGAGATTTCGTCCCGTGATAACTGACAGGGTCATAAGTCATAACAATAAATATAATACATTTTTTCATAACATACATTTTTCTGGATTTTAAGATAGTACTCAAATTTAGCATTAACACAGTTGTAAATTAATCTATTTATAATTGGTGTTTACAGTTAACTTATTACAAATGATGTTCGCTGGGTGATGTAACTGAATAAAGACTACAAACATATTATTGATTGAATTCCAACAATTAGTATTCGCTTGACTTAGAATATCGAGATATAATTTTAGTTAAAAAAGAGGCTGGAAAAAGATCCAGGATCTTCTAACTACCTTACATAACAATGCACACATATTTGAGATGAATTTCCTTCTATCTATGTTGAGGATGCTCAAAAATCACTTGGTAAACGTCTTATTTTTGTAATTTCATTTTGAAATTTTGAATTTCTCGTTTTCGCGCCAAAAGCGCCCATTCTTGCCACCAGACTATTTCCCACTTAGAAGGACCCTAAATGTCACTGATTCGTTGCCTCTTTTATTATGCTATTTTGTGATTTTTCCCAAAGACCTTCTTATACTATATATATATATATATATATATATATATATATGCATGCTTGGTTTGATCGTGCTTCTGGCTGCTTGTGGAACATACCTTCCCCTCATCTGAACCAGGTCTTCTCCCTCTAGTTAGCAGGGTTGGGACGCATTGGAATAGTTTAGCTTGTCTTGTCGTTGGGTTGCTGATCCTTCGTTCCGTTCACCGAATTTAGGTGATCTCATAATCCCTTCAAACGTAGCAATCTAAATGCAAAATGTTGCTTCAAGACTGATCTGGCTTAACGTCTAAACTAATGATGATAGAAAGTGAAGCAGTTGAGGGAGTTGACCACTTCACTTCGTTTGAAAGTTTCATCACCTCTGCTGGGTTGATGTGTGATGAAATCTCAGCACAATATCAGAAACTTCGGTTGGTTTTAAGAATTTGTATCGTTTATGGAGTAGGCGAGATATCCGTTTACCGATTAAAGAACGAGTATACCATGGCTGTGAAATGTGACCTCTAAAAATACAGGATACGCGTAGATTACTAATATTCGATTATAGGTATCTTCGAAACATTACTCGTATATTTTGAGACCATAGAGTTAGCGATTCTGAGGTTAGATACAGAGTACTAAGTATGGCGAATTAATTGACGAGGTGATTAATTTTTATCCAATAAAATGGTTAGGATATGCATTACATATACCCCCCACCCTACCGATGACGGATGGTGTAGGAGTATGTTAAAAGAAAACTAGGGTTGCCCAAGCCATCAATCCACGGAGAAACTGATTATAAGACTGAGCCAAGTAGACGAGTCCAGATTACTCGGTGGGGTCCGTGTGATTACTGTAACCAGTGGTTACAGACCTAAAGTGACATAACTCAAAATTATTCGAAACAGAGCAGATGCATTCAACCATTGTTTTACCTTGGATACTAAGTTTCTAAATTCCTGATAAAAATTCTTTCATTTTACTAATTTACGTTTTCTACTCGAATCGTATCTTTGATAGCAATTCTTTTCTATTACCACTAATACTGTTGTTAATACCTCTACTACTCTGTGCTAAGGCCTGACAATTCCAGCTTGCTGTGCTAACGGGATGTGGTAACTTAAACTGATGTACATATGTGGTCAGGTTTTATGTTGTGCAAGACTGACTGACTGACTTTTTATTTATTTATTTATTTCAACACATAGATAATGGTACAAAGAGGCACAAAATACATATGCGCCACACAAATATCATTCGATATGTGTGAGGGCTGTGATACTGCCCGGGTGCCCAAACCGAAGCAGGTGGTTTTCTTAGGGGGCCATTCCCCGAGCCTTCGACCTGAAGGTCTGATCCACAAGGCAGTGGAGCATCGTAAGGAGATGCAGTCCCATGGAAGCCGGTGACCAACAACTGGTTCACACGCCATTTGTTCCCGCAGGATACTAGAGCCCATGTGCACCATTGGTTTGGAATCCGGTTAAAGCGCCGGACATTCGCTTTTCGTCCTCCGATTTTCGTAAACAACACCCCCGCCACGAGAAGGCAGTGAGTAGGACTGACTGACTGACTCGGCACTATATTACTGAATGTTTATTGGTAGTAATAGTGGTTAGTTAAACGCATTCAGTAGGAACCGTGGACTGAAATTTCTTTAGTTAGTTTGTTGGCATTTGTCAGCAGTAAAGCTGTACACATTTGCGATCTTTTTAGAGAACTACTGCTTCCTTCATGAGATTTTAATCCAGGAAGTTGCTGAATATCACAAACACATATACGATTGTTGGATCATTCAAAGGTCAAGTAATAATATGTACTTACAAAATAATTAATATAGAACGAGAACACGATATAGAGGCACCTACTATCACTAATAATTATTTATGAAATAAAGTAAATATTTTAAGTTTTAACAGTTGATTTTTCTGAAGCATTAAGACTGACAGGAACCGATTGATAACAATCGTATTCATCCATTCATCTTTGCTTATAATGCTTGTGATTGAAGGCAATATCGAAGCAATCCACACAGGGTGCATATATGCCAGTAAGTGACTGATCAATTACAGTCCTAAACATCAATGGGAAGATTTAAACAAACAATGCAAAAACTTCATCCCATTACACAAACTAGTGGTTATCAGGACTGAGTAGCCAAGTCCATCACGCGATGGCGTTTGAAGCGAACAGTACTGGGTTCGAGTCTTGGAGTGAACATCAACTCTAGGATGCAGGTACATCCAGCTGACGAGTCCAAGAGAGGACGAAACGTGCGTCTTAGATTCCACTGCTAGTCACCATCCATCTTTGCTTATAATCCCATTTAATGTTGTACTCAATTATAATAAATAAGGGGTCATTTGTCAAAATCAAAACGAGACCGAAAAAAAGATTTGGAAGATCATTGTATCATACTGCGAGCTGACTAAATCTGAAAATGTATACCAATAGACGTTGACATAGTGGTTTTAATCGGGTTTTGTTCTCTGATGAACTATTGAAGAATTTTTCAATAAAATGAAACTGTTTACATAAATATAGAAAATTATTGAAAAAATAACAATACATCTCAATGATAAGTGAGTAGTTTAACATACTTTTATTTTGCCCAAAGGACCATCTTCACAATATTTTTGAATAGTTGTTTTATTCCAATAATATGAATTGTCCATAAGTGAATGATTGGAAAAAATTAATAGAACAGGTGAAAAATTATCATTTGAATTTATTACTTCCACTTTGTCCAATATTAATTCAATAAAAATACTTAAAGCATTCTCAATTCTATAATACATTTCTTTATGTCGTGGTTCCGCTGTTTTATACACTTTAAACTGATAAGATGTAAAAAGGAAGAGAGAGAAAGAGAATGAAAAAAGATATATACTTAGTGAAAGCTACTGATTTTTTTCTCAAATATCTTGATGGAGTTTTGTTGTATGAACTGGATGGTTTGGTCATGGAGCTTTCATAGTTATTCTGAACGACATCATTAGCACAAATATAAACTAATTCTAGTTAAATCAAGCAATCAGTTAGTCAATGTAAAATCTGATAAATTTATGCACGACAACCATATAAGTTGAGAAGAAAAAATGAATTCACAAAGTACTGTATAAGATAATTTTAGGGATGATAAAGAATAAATACATCTGTAATATTGTGACAGATTTTAAGCTACGCTACCCAACACCTTCAACTAGTCCTTACAGTAATCGTGATAACCACAATAGATTAATTTGAATTTGTCTTTACGGCTTAGTCTAACAGTCAGTGTTTTTGTGAACGGATGTCTCATCCTAGTTTGGCTACACTTGGATTTGTTACAACCCACTCCTACACGATTAAAAGTTGTACGTCTAAGTAAGCGGTAGTTGGATATGCATTATATATGTCAAAACCACCCCAGTCACTAAAAATTCACTATCAAATCAACTGACTCGCTATCTTTACCTGGTACCCTGCATCTAACCTCAGTAATGAGTAATCAGTGGTCCCAGAATAAACTACCAATGCTTCTAAGGTATCAAATACCAGTAATCCCCAGTTTTTAAAGACCATATTTCACAACTATAAAGTAGGACAGAATGAACTGCTGTGCAGTACATCCTTTCTATGATTGGGAGATGGATATCTCAACCACAATATTGTTGACACGAGTTAGCAAAAACCAATTGTACATCCTTAATCAGTGCTGAACTTTCGTTAAACAAGAACCTACCAGTACTACTGAGACTTGCAACATGAGGGAAGTAGTCAACATGCTCAGCTACTTCACTTCATATCATTAGTAGAATATCAATGTAAAAACGCGTGAATTGAACACCTATATTCTAGATAAACATCCGATTCGATATCAAAGTCATTATTTAAATTAGTACACAAAATCCAGGAACCAAGCTATAAATAACCAAGTACACACAAGATCAGTAGATCACCTAATTGAGTCATTCATACCGATATCACTATTACATTGATTATGACTTGGTACTTTACTATAAATCACTCTGGCCTGTATTATTTACAAATAACACAATTTTGAAGTATTTATATAGTAACAGAAGCAAACATTCACTATTTTTAACATATAACGTTGTCAAATTCGTTTATGCATGCCATCACTTGTGATATTATTTATTTAAACACAAACATTGGGACAAGGAAGCACCAAATAGATATGCGCCATATTTCATCATTCGATTTGTATAACTCGGGCGCCCAAACCGAAACAAGTGGTTTTCTTAGAGGGTCACAGCCCGAGCATCTGGCCTAAATGTCTGATCCACAAGGCAGTGGAGCAACGTAAGGAGGTGCAGTCCCATGGTAGCCGGTGACCAACAATAGGTTTATACGCTATTTGTTTCCTCAGGATCCTGGAGCCCATATGCACTATTGGTTTGGAATCAGGATTTTTCAACTCCCCTAGGTAGATCCTCCGTATCCGCCGACCCGGCCATAATAATTATGGACTCAAAACTATTGAGCCTGATAATGAAGTTATTGAAGGCGATTGTTCGTTCGAATATTCTTTAATTTTGTGTATTCTATGGGGATTTTGAATTTTCATTTTGACGAGAAACGATGCACACAAATCAATGTCTGCTCGAGTTATGAAAAAACTAAAATTTAAGAACTACAAGACAAAACATATATATAGGTATATATCATTCTTAATCTTTGACTGAACGCTAGTATCCATATACAATCCCAATGAATAATGTAAACAAACAAATGTGAGAATATTTTAGTGGGAAGAATTGGTACTGGTTAGGAAATGGTAACTTTAAGGATAAACGACTTTCACTACAATTGAATAAACCATCAAGCACTGAGGAAGAGATGAAGAAAAAAGCCATCGATAACCAGACTATTAAGTAGGAATAGTAACTTTTCTGCTACTGATATTCATGACTGCACTTTGGTCATATTTTCGTTAGTGTACATAAGCAATCTGCAGAGGACAACTCAAACCTCTTTACTGATAATAATATAAACATTATACCTGTTAAGTCAGTAGTTTGCATCCAGTAGTTCAGTGATTAATGGATTAAACTTTTGAATCAAAAGTTACCGAGTTTGAGTCTCAAAATGAGTATCGATATTCGAATCTAGGTATATCCAACTGATAAATTGCAAATAAGAAGAATGGAGCGTAATGGATTACCATTGTTAGTCACAATTCACTTATTTCAAATGACTAGTGATATAATTGTTATATAGTTTTCCAGCCAAACCCACGTCTATGGGTTGAAACAACTATGTTCAGGGTACTTCTTGATTTCCATGAGTCTCAAGTTAGTCAGTTCATGATATATGACGTCTTTATGAATTTTTTAAGTTTAGAAAATTTACACATTACATTCTTTAGAGAAGGCACTGTAATGTTTCTGGATGCATATGGGAAAAGATTAATAAAAATCAGATGTGTTTTTATTTGAAATAAAATGGGAAGATAAAAGCAAGAACATGAGGTGATCTGTTGTGACTTTGGTTTGCCCATTAGTTCTGTTCTGAGAGCCGTAGAAAAATTTGTCTCAGGACTAATAAAGCTAGGCTCCTTAACGTAACCTTGAGTGAGTCCGATTATGACGAATTTAGTTTTGCAGGCAGAAACTATCCCATCGGATCATTAATTATCTACCTCACGGATCCTGATTAGTAGGCAGAAGAGAAGACGGCTGTAGTTAGAAAAACTATATCTCCAAATTAGGCAGAGATCCGATGTTACTCTCAAAAAATGCATGGTCAAATACATAAGCATATAGACTACAAAACATAATAAAACAGAAAGGATGTGTACCAAAAGGGTATAGAGGAAGAATCAGAATGCCAAGCTTATGATCAATTTACAATAGGTTGAGAATAGAACAAGATATGGAGACAGTTTATTATTCAGATAAAAATTCGACATAAGGTAAATAAAGGAAACACTAAAATCCAGTATTTTTTGCCTCAAACGGTTTATGTGTTATCAAATAAGATTATCAGTCTAAATAGCTACTAACTTGTGCGACGGGCCTAGATGGTAGCTGTAATAGTTCCAATTTTGCCATTGTTAATGTTAAGGACTGAAACTGATTAGTCTTCATTGACCTATATGCATCCCAAACTGATGGCTCGAATATTTTGGTAGGATCACAATGTTTATTAGGATTAGATTTAAAAAATCGTGACGAAATCCAGGATGTACTTTTAGTCCTTTATTTGAATCATCAGATAAATCTGCCTGGAACTTTAACTTTTTACCAATCTGATTTTTTTTAAAAGCATATTACTAAATACTTATATGAAATCAAAATAAATGACAGACTATTTATAATGCTTTGTTTTTTTTTCCCGCGTTAATAATGTAAAAGACTACAAATTTCAATAAAAAGTGACTACATAACAAAGCTGATTGAATCTCCTTAGCTGATGAACATATTTTGATGAAGATTAATTAATTACAGTCCTCACCATCAACAATAGAAAAATAGAAACCTTTACAAATAAAATTTATCTTAATTACATAAACCAGAGATTATTTGAACACAATAGCTCAACAGATAATGAGTTGGCCATTTCAGTTGAAATGTCAGTGTGAATATCAACATTGAGATGCTGATGTATCACAAATAGGATGAAACATACATCGTGGATTCTACTAGTAGCTATTATTCAACTAACTGTAGATAAGTGATTAAAATGGTAAATAATACCTATAAAACAGATTATATCTTATCCAAATATTGAATTATTTTGGGAAAAAATTAATTACTCAAAGTCAACATACATTCAATTTAATAACACCGTCTATTTTCTCATGAGAATCTAACGATTGTGTAGCTTCAAATTCGATATTGATTTGATCATCATTTGAATTATTCTTAAATGATGAATTTTTCCAGTTTAAATTACTTCCTAAAAATGTTTCTGTTTGACTTCCTGTGTCAGGAGCAATTGTTTCATCATTTATATCACGATAACGAATTATCTAATTCAAATAATAAAACATGAATTTCCAAAGTAAATCTAACCCTATGTAATATTAATCCGTAAGATTGGATAGAATTATTAACTGAAACTGAATGCCTATAGTTTAACGTATTATTATCATCAAATTTGGAACAATCCACATTGACTTTAGATTTTTCAGTAGTGTGTATTAATATTAGAGAAGGCGGATGATGTTGACTGGCAGATATTAAATACCATAATGTATGTGTTTGATTCTTAACTGATATTTGATATAAACTTGTATGGTTGCAATATATTACATCTGAAGTTATCTGAAATCATTTATTAGTAATTATTATTGTCAAATGAAACTTACATTAAATGAAGACACAACAATACTTTGAATAATCAAAGTACAAGAATATACTAAAACAATCCAAATGTTTACTGAATACATCTAGGGAAGAATTACAAAAAAGAAAAGTTAGCTAACAACGATATTGAGAAAATATGAGGGCAAAGACCAAGAATATATTCCGTATATATATACATTATTTCTTTATTTGATCACATAAATATTGGTACGAAATAGCACTGAATACATATGCGCCATACAAGTCACTTGATTTGTTTGTGAGTTGTGATACTGCCTGGGTGCCCAGGCCGAAACAGGTGGTTTTCCTAGAGGGTCACACCCGAGCATATGATCTAAAGGTCTAATCTACAAGGCAGTGGAGCAACGTAAGGAGATGCAGTCCTGTGACAGCCGGCGACCAACGATTGGTTCACACGCCATTTGTTTCCTCAGGATTCTGGAGCCCATATACACCAATGTTTTGTAATAAGGTTTTTCAACTCCTCTAGGTGGGTCCTTCATATCTGCCAACCCGGTTAAAGCGCGAACATTTGCTTTTTGTCCTCTCAGTTTCGTAAACAACAGCCGTGCCATGGGAAGGCAGTGAGCAGAGCTTTCTTAGAAATGGCTGTATACGCGTGACCATGTGAGAGCGTTTCGAGAGAGTGAGAGAGAGGGCTGACTCTCCCCACTCTCGGCCGTACCAGGGCTTTTGGGGACTGCAAGATGTTTGCCAATAAAAAAAATAAATAATCTGGGCATTCTGTTCTGCTTTCTGGCTGTGAAATGTGACCATCAAAAGTAGGATAGTTATTTTATGCCTGCAAAGCATTGATTGATGTTGAAATCATCGAGTGCACATCGCTGAGGTTAGAAGACGAGAACTAAGTAGGGATTGAAAATTAGCTAAAAAGGTAGTCAATCTTTATCGACTCAGGTGATTGGAATATGTATCATGGGTTAAAGCTAGGTAGGCTAATGTTTACTCAAGCGGTGGAGGGTTCTATACAAGTAGTAACATAAATCAAAGAATCAATCGCCATCAAGTATAATTTTATTTGAATTAGTGCAGAATTTCTGGCGAAAAGAACAAGTGATTGGGTCAAAAGACAAGGAGAGCTGCAGTAATTAGAGTTGTCTGGCAGTAATATATATATATATATATATATATATATATATATATATATATATATTGTTAAGACGTTTCTTAAAGACTGAGAACAATACGAATGGGACTGGTATTAGTTCACCAAGGAAGATGCCAAGTAGGGTTCACTGATGCTCGTAGTTCAAATAACAAACAACTAGAGCTTAGCCTAAATAACATATAGAACATTTACTCCTCATAATCACACAAATGAGAGCTGAAAACGTAAAATCTGGAGTCCATGTCTTTACTGATAAATGTTGTATCGTTGCGTCACGACGACTCAAAAAGAAATGACCGTACAACTACACTTAACACGTGCTAATACTTGGTGTTCGTACTTAATTTTTACACATCAGTCTATTACAGTAAATAGGCGACAATGAGTTATTTCGAAATTGCACGCTTCTACAATCAAAAGATGACATATTTAACTCTTAATAATAATGTTAGTGTTATACAGCAAGTAAATACGTGTATATGCAATTGATTTTAGGCCACAGTCTTTTCGAGAAAAATTAAAATACTGACCAAAACTACCCACAGACTTAATTATCCAATCAAAAGGTTGAAATTTGAGTACTTAAACCAACGGATTAGGTTTTCAGCAGTTCTATTAATACACTAGTTAATCTGCTGCCGTTTTATTCCCTACACAAAAGTGACAGACTATTTAAACACAAATTTAACCTGCTCGCTTAATTTTTCATGGAAACCCACAAACTGATTCATGTTGATGATAGGTTTATTCAAAGGCAGAAAGAGTTTGAATTTAGTAGTAAGTCTCATGGAGGGTATTTGACTATAAAATATGAAAATACTTTTTCAGAATAGATTTTTGTTATATCCCAATGAGTAGAGAAATTGTATTTCTGACACTTTGTGGCTTAATGTAAGCCACTTCTTCAGAGTAAATAAATCATTGGGACATAACAAAAAAATACTTATTATTAACTCTCTACCCAATACTCAATTTATTTAAGACTATGAAGTCCAACCTTCGCACTGATACCTATAAACTCATTATTTTTCCTTTCCGTTTTGGTATCACAGACATTAAGAAAATAATCACATATTGTTAAATGTTCTGATATCCGTTAAAGCATTTGTCGAAAATAGGAGCCATGATATGCATCAAGATACAAAAAACTATAACAGACGTTTCGGTAATGAAGTGAAGATTTAGATCTAGTTAAGAGATTTGCTGGGTTTGGTAGAGGTAAGTTAAGCAGATTTTGAACTTCTGGACTAATGTTTCAAAGACGAACTTATGAATAACATAACTACGTTTTTAATCACTAGATGGAGATAACTAAGATATAATTTATTTTAAGGTTCATTCAGCTGGGAAATACTTTACCAACTATATCAACACCCATATACATAAAGCTAAAACTTGATTATCTGATAATCAAGTTTCGAAAGCGATGAATCATATGTTATCTAATCAGGCCTCTATTCGTTTATTTTACATCGGTTGGTCACAAAGTTATTAACCCACTAACTAACTACAATAAATCCCCCTAAACAGTTGATCCAACAGCTGCTTATTTACTGTCGTCTGTTTATTTGGGAACAGCTTTCCAGCTGTATTTAGCAGTTTAATAACCTCAAGAATCAGCAGACTTTGTAGAGCACCTTGCTTTTCACAGACATTTTGGTAGTTATCACATTGCATTCCATCCTGAACAGGAAAGAAGCATATGGGTTTACCATAGCTATATTTTATTTGATTCATCTCAGAGGACATAGCAGGCGAGTAGAAAAGCCAATAACGAACAAACTACCTGTGGCATACAGGTTTTCACACCGAGTAGTCAAATGACTTTCCTCCCACCACTGGGGAGAAGTGACTATGCAGTCATCTTATTTAAATTCATGGCTGAGATTGCCTATTAAACAGTTGCGCCGGCCTGTCCTAATATATGGAAGGCAGATATGGAGGCAATCAACTCCGAAGCATCGGCTGAAAACTGGGAAATTGACCCAAGGGCATCAGTACAAGAGGCATGGACTCTTTTTAGGTAGTTATACAATCGGGTAACAACCATACATACTCTGGACATTTCTAAAAAAGAAGCACGGCCATCCCTGGATAGGCCGGGATATTCGACGTTTACTAAGACAAAAGAAGAAATGTTGGGATATCGCCATCCGCCTTGGCACAGTAGGCACGATGGAACGCTACAGATCGGTAAGAAACAAGTGTATAACAGGAATTCGGGAGGCTCAAAGAAAATATGGAACGCAGTTGGCACAATCAGCACTCAAGCAGCCCACGAGAATATTCTCGTACATAAATAATAGAACAAGGATGCACCATTGGATTCCCTACCTAATTAAAGAAGGGAGTAAATCTGAAGTGACGGAGGAAGATCAGGAAAAAGCAGAGGCTATAGCTGACTATTTTGGGGCAGTTTTCACTTAAAAACCTCCTCTACAGAAGGAACCAGACCAAAATAAAGAGTCAACAAACCACCTGCTCACTTTGGACTTCGATCAAGACAATGTGCTTAAGGCTCTTAGGACCTTAAACATGGAAAAGTCAACAGGACCAGATGAACAACACCCCAAAATCTTGAGACATATTGCACAATATATCGCGGTCCCACTGACTGTGATATTCAATGTGTCACTTGACCAAGGTGGGTTACCTATGGACTGGAAGGACGCGATCGTCACTCCTATAAATAAAACAGGACCAAGACAAGTTCCATCGAGCTACAGACCTGTAAGCCTCACCAGTGTTGTAGTTAAAATTTTGGAAAGAATAGTCAAACGGACCAAATTGGCATTTATGGAAACCAATAACTTGCTAAACATAGAACATGGTTTTAGAAAGGGTCCATCTTGTACAAAGAACCTCCTTATAGCAAGGGAGTTTTGGATAAAGGCGCTAGACAACGGAAACTCAGTGAATGTTGTCTATATATACTTCAGTAAGGCTTTTGACAAGGTGCCAACTAATAGACTGCTATTGAAGTTGGAAAACCTTGGCATTGCCGGACCTCTTTCAAAATGGATTAAGGATTTCCTAGTAGGTCGTAGACAGAAAGTAAGAATAAATTCCAAGTGCTCCATCTGGAGACCAGTACTTAGTGGAGTACCTCAATGTTCCGTCCTAGGTCCTTTACTTTTTACAATGTATGTTAATGATCTCCCAAGTATAGTACAGTCTCCAATGTTATTATACGATGACGATGTAAAGATCTGGAGAGTAATAACTGGAGACAGACGCATGTGCTCTTCAGGCAGACTTAAATAATGATTCACTGGTCTAAAGAGTGGCTGATGCCTATCAGTGCAGCAAAGTGTGTCTACATGCACTTTGGGGATTCAAAGGTTAATAGGTACAACATAGGGGAAGTGCCATTACCCGTGGTCCGGTCTCATAAGGATCTAGGGGTGACAGTGAGTCATGATCTTAAGACGACGGCCCATTGCCAGGAGGTCGCAGCTAAGGAGTTTAGAACCCTCTGGGCTTTAAGACGGACATTCACTAAGTTAGATACCACCATGTTCACCACAGTATACACATCCTTAGTGAGAACTAAGCTTGAGAACTGCATTCAGGCTGCAAGCCCCTATTCAAAAGGTGACTCAGATATCCTAGAAAAAGTACAGAGGGCAGCTACCCGTGCAATTCCAGAACTCTGGAGTTCACCATACAAAGAGCGGCTTGAAAAGCTGGACCTCTCTACTCTGTCCTTTCGCAGATTGAGAGATCTAATTTTGATGTACAGAATACTGAGGAATGATTCTGGACCTAACTTACTCTCTTTTTCTTCCCACTAGATCGGGACATCTCAGAGGACATAGCAGACGAGTAGAAAAGCCAAGAACGAACAAATACCCGTGGTATACAGGTTTTCACACCGAGTTATCAATACTTAAGTATTGGAACCTGCTGTCCGAAGCAGTGGTGTCCGCACCTTTAATTGACACTTTCAAGAGAAGACTGGACACTTACAGAAGCATACTAGAAAAGGAATAAAATAGGCCGTAGACCTACTGTCTTTACTACACAAATCTGAATCTGATGTTATTTTAATAACTAAGTGAGCATACAGAGGGGAACAATGCAAAAAAATCTCTTAAGCATAGGAAAAAAGAAAAACAAAAATGGTTCTGAGAATAACCCAACCATACGATTTCAGTGAAATTACTACTCTACAATGTAAGGTTCCTCCAGACTTCCCCGCTCTTTCGTTTTGATGGCCTTGAATGGGCAACGTCCAGGAGTACCGTTCACTGGCGGAGGTTGCGAGCACTTGAAGGTTAAACTGTCGCAAGATGATTGGTGCGTCATATCGACAGTTAGTGAAAATTTTCAGAAGCGGTCAAATCAAAATATTTTTGAATTTGAATTGAGTTCAGCCACACCATGTCCGGTAACGCCCACCCTTCAAGTAACGAAGACGATGCCATCGTGATGATGCATGATGTAAGACGAATCTTCAATGATATTATGTTATCTTGACGATTTACAAGTTGGGACAATATTGAGACCTGTTTAAACAGGTCATAAGGCAATATATTGACTTCTGTGGTTAATAATTATTTTTTTAGTATACGCATCCTAAGTACGTTATGTCATTATGTATAAAGAACAATGATGAACCATCTCTAAAGTATTTTTTTGTGAGATATGTCTGTACATATGGACGTAAATTCAGTTCATCCGAGTCAGATGCATGCGTTCAGGATGTAGATGATGGTAGTGATCATCATTCTTCTGAAGAGCATACAACTCCTAACTCACCACCACAACCTAGATAAAGAAGACGACGTCGGTCACCTATGCATGCTTTACTTTGTAGCGGTAAATAAATCCCCAAAATAAATAGCACTAAGTTTTCGACATTGGATGCTGACCATATGTTTTAGTGGACTCATCTAGCTGAAGGCGCTCGGTCAGGCATCCGCACCAGATCACGTGTAGTAACGCCGTGCTCAACATCAACCACAATCGCTAGCCAGATTAGATCAGAGAATCCCGGTATATTGGTCATCGCCAAATATACTCTTCCGATCTCCTCGACTCTGTCTTTTGATTTCTCTTGGTGGGAACGAAATACATTAGAAGGTGTTACTGGTAGAAGCGTTGTCAAACACTGAATACCTGTGACATCATCATTGGTGAGACCGTCGTGATCTGGTACACCTTATTGCAACTGTGAGTCTGTTCCTTTTTGGGATTTTTATATATCATTGCCTTATTTTTTATTTTTTTTAAACATTGTGATTTTTTTTCGTGTTTTTCTTGGATATATATATATTTTTTCCCCTCGTTCATTATCGTACTTCATATTTCATCATGACTGAACAGACACCTAAAGTACTCAAGCTTAAGACCTTGTCCCCACCTTCGTTTCAACTGATGCCTTTCTGGCCCGACAACATCGAAGCCTGGTTTTGCTACGCAGAAGCCGACTTTTCCGAGCACGGCGTGATCGACACACGTGCACAATTCCTCGCAGTAGTCAAGGCACTGCCGCGGGAATTCAACAGGTACGTAACACCTAGTATGTTTACTAGTGATGTTTCCGATCCTTACGAAATCTTAAAACGCTCGATTCTTAAACGAGGAGACCTAACCGATCGACAAAGGTTAGATCAACTCTTCAACAATATCGACCTGCAACACGGTTCTGCGACGGACATGTTGCAACGGATGAGAGAGGTTATAGGCCCAAGAACTTTCGACGAAGGTCTATTCAAACAACTCTTCTTGTCAAAACTTCCCCAACAGGTGCAAGCAGTTCTGGTCTCGTTCCAGAACAACGCCTTAGACGAACTAGCTGTATCTGCCGACCGCATTCTAGAAATTACGAAACCTTCTACTACCGAGGTATTTTCAGTCAAAGAAAAGCCTCACACGACTCAGAATGACATAACCGACTTATGTCACACACTCACGCGTTATCTTAGTCTTCGTACCGACCGTAAGAGATCGCGCACACCACGTAGAAGCATTTCTCGTAAGCGATCTGTCTCTAGACCACGAGAGACAGATAACCCCGACTGGTGCTGGTATCATAACCAGTATGGAAAGTTTTCCAGAAATTGCAGAAAACCCTGCAATTTTCCCAACACGAAACCGACTGATTCGGGAAACTTCCAAGCCGGCACGCGTTAACGGCAACCGTAGCCGGCGAACAAAGCCGTCTGTTATTCGTCACAGATGTGACAACGAGAGTTCGCTACCTCGTCGACACTGGCGCAGAAGTTAGCGTTCTCCCAGCAAATCCTAACGACCGACTTCACGAATCGACCCTAAACTTACAGGCGGCAAACGGAAAACCGATCGCTACGTATGGCAAAAGGTACGTTTACCTTAACGTGGGTTTACGCAAACCCATCCACTGGATTTTCGTCGTTGCAGATGTTTCTATGCCAATCATTGGTATGGACCTTCTACAACACCACAATCTGATCATCGACACTCGCAAACGGAGGCTAGTAGACGGAAACACTAATTTGTCCGTTTGCGTAACTTCTTTTACTGGTTGTAGAGTATCCCCAGTCACAGTTAAACATATGATAGACCCACTCTATCAACCACTACTCGATAAGTACCCTGGGATACAACAAACTCAACCGAAACTACCGTGTGTAACCAGCAATGTTACACATCACATCACGACTACAGGACCACCTGTATTTCTAAAGCACGACGACTAGCTCCTGAAAAGCTAAGGTTAGCGAAAAACGAATTCGATCACATGATGGACTTAGGAATCATACGACCGTCAAGTAGCCCATATGCATCTCCGTTGCACATGGTCCCTAAAAAGGACAGCAACGATTGGCGTCCAACTGGTGACTATCGGCGATTGAACGCGAAAACCATTCCCGATCGTTACCCGTTGCCTCACATTCACGATTTGACAGCTACCTTGAAAGGTACAACTGTCTTTTCGAAAATCGACTTGGTTAAAGCGTATAACCAAATCCCTATGGCTACTGACGACATACCGAAAACAGCTATCATAACTCCCTTCGGACTCTATGAATTTTTGCGAATGCCTTTCGGTCTAAGGAATGCTGCTCAAACATTCCAAAGATTCATAGACGACGTTTTTCGAGGTCTCAACTTCGTACACGCGTATGTTGACGACTGTCTAATCGCAAGTCCGGACAGAGAAACACATCTCAAGCATCTGGACCTTGTTTTCGAACGATTACAAAAACATGGCATAACTGTAAACGTTCAGAAATGCCAATTTGGAACCGACTCGTTAGACTTTCTGGGACACACTATCGATGCTCAAGGTATCCGACCCCTTAGAACCAAAGTGGCGGCCATTCTGGATTACCCAGAACCGACCACCGTCAAGCAATTACGCACGTTCAACGGCCTGGTAAGTTTCTATAGACGTTTCATACCCAAATGCGCATCACTTATGAAACCTCTGACCGACCAACTTCGTGGAAATGCGAAATCCATTAATTTGGACGACACCGCACGAAAAGCATTCTCCACAGTCAAGGAACTGATTGCTAAAGCAACAATGCTCGCACATCAGGACACCCGAGCACCCATTAGCATCGCAGTAGACGCATCCGACTCAGCAATCGGAGGAGTCTTACAACAATGGGTTAACAACTCCTGGCAACCCTTGGCATTTTTCTCTAGAAGGTTGCTAGACACCGAATCGAGGTACAGCACATTCGGTAGGGAACTCCTAGCTATGTATTGTGCTGTACGGCATTTCCAACACTATATCGAAGGCCGTGAATTCACTCTTTTCACGGACCATAAACCGCTCACTTTCTCGTTAAGCTCTCCTTCTGACAAGTACTCTCCCCGTGAGTCTCGACAACTGGACTACATTTCGCAGTTTACTTCAGATATTCAACACATCTCTGGAGCAAACAATGTAGTTGCAGACGCTTTATCTCGTATAACTTCCTTGAACAGTTTCCAAGGAATCGACCTTCTTAAACTCGCCGAGCTTCAAAAAGAAGACAGTGATCTTCAGCACGAGTTATCGTCCACAACACTTAAACTACGCATCAAACAGATGGGAACAGGTAAGGAAACCTTACTTTGTGACACATCTACAGGTAGGGATCGCCCAATCGTGCCGAAACATTATCGACGCAATGTCTTCAACACATTGCACAAACTTTCTCATCCAGGTGTTCGTGCAACCATCAAGCTTATAGCAGAACGATTTTGCTGGCCTGGCATGAATAAAGACGTGAGGGAGTGGGCACGCTCCTGTGTAAGCTGCCAAAAATCTAAGGTTATCAGACACAATAAATGTCCCTTAGGCTCGTTTAAAACTCCCGATGCTCGTTTCGACCATGTTCATCTGGATTTGGTAGGACCTTTACCAGATTCAAATGGATACTCTTATCTCTTAACCTGCGTAGACCGTTTCACTCGATGGCCAGAAGCAGTACCTATCAAGGACAGCACTGCTGAAACAGTGGCCCGCACATTCGTCGAACGATGGGTAGCAAACTTCGGTTGCCCTTCAACCATCACTACAGACCGCGGACGTCAGTTTGAATCTGATCTTTTCCGTCGTCTGACCACACTTTTAGGAATCACTCGCTTCCGAACGACCGCCTACCATCCCAAGCAAACGGGTTGGTAGAACGTTTTCACCGACAACTGAAAGCTTCGCTATCAGCTGCAAACGTTTCACAATGGACCGACGCTCTTCCACTCGTCTTACTAGGTATCCGCAATGCAGTGAAAGCTGACATTGGATACACTGCGGCTCAACTCGTTTATGGAACGACACTTCGACTTCCAGGAGAATTCGTGGATCCTTCGTGCTCTTCGATGAACATGGATCTAACCTCCTACACGAACAGGCTTACAAACGCAATGCGTTCAGTTAAACCTGCTTCCACTCGACCTCAATCAACTGATGTTTTCGTTCAACCTGACTTACCATATAGTACACACGTTTTCATTCGTCGAGACTCGCATCGACGACCATTCGAATCAGCATACGAAGGACCCTTCAAAGTTCTTCAACGTGAATCTAAGTACTATATAGTCGATAAGAACGGAACCAACGATAGCATCAGCATCGATCGCTTAAAAGCAGCGTATTTAGAAGGAAATCCTATCCACGTCGATTTTCCTTCGGTACAATCGAACGACACGACTCAGACACTAATAATACCTCATCCGACAACCAACACACGCGAAGATACTTCGACAGTATCCGAAAATAAACTTAAAACGACGCGTTCTGGAAGAAGGGTGAGATTTCCAGAACATTTAAACGACTATTGCACGTAAGGCACTTCTCGACATTTTATATTATTTTTTTAAAAAAAAA